TGGGACCTAACTGGGTCTTTCCTTGTGTTTTATGGGCCACGTTCTTCTCCCTGCTTCACTGAAATCAATGGGGTGGCAGAGGTGAGAGGAGAATGGGGCCCTGTGGTTCTGGGAGGTACCCACCAGGATTATGGCACAGACTGGACCCAGGAAGCTCCAACGAAAGCCTCTGTCCAGGCTGAGCCAGCAGCTAGAGGGAGGGAGGAAGAAGAAGGTGACGTTAATGGGATTACTGCCCTTTTTCAGCCCCGGGGCAGAGAGGGGGTGTCACAGGGCAGCTGGCTCTCAAAAGCGAGATGGATCTCAGCCTGCCTGTGACATGGCCGACTCTCTTGCGAGTAGCAGGCTAACAGCCGTCCCCATGTACCTCAGCATCTCCTGCTTTCAGCCACCACTTCCTCTTCCACCTCCTCAATGACCCTTTCTGGTGGATGGGCGCAGTATTGCTGGAGGGCCAGACATGCAGCGGATGGACATTGGCCTCGCTGCACTGAAGGAAGTGGAGCTGCCCTGATTTACACCAGCTGAGGATCTAGCCTGGGGTGTCTAGAACACGCCACGCCCTGTTTTAGTGAGTCGCTCACTTCAGAGAGGGGATCCGCAGGAATTTGCACACAGGAAGAAGGTGCATTTGTTTCCTACCCACCAGCCGCACAAACCCAGCCGGGGACCTGGGAGTCAAGCTGGGATCTTTCTGGCTTGTTCTTCTGCATCATCAGTGGGGTGACAAGTGTAGATGTCTGACAGGTGGGCAACTCAACTACAGCACTCGGGGCAGCTTAGTGTCCCTGGGGATGGGAAGGGTCCCAGGGGGACATTCAGCTCCCAGGCAGGGTGAGCAGGGAAATCGAGGTTCACGTCAGACCTGGGGTGAGCCGGACAAGCGCATGGAAGCCACATCCCAGCTCCCCTTCGGGATGGGCGCTGCACGTACTGTTTGGAAGTTCCGTAGCCGTCAGGATTCACCGCTGCAGAAATAGCCACCACCAGGGCTGGGAAGCCGTAGCCGAACGGGTACATGAATCTCTTCTTGAACAGGCTGGCGCTGGTGTAATTCATGACCTTCAGGTTCCTGACGGTGAGGAAGAGGTGCAGCCCCTCCAGGAACATCCAGGAGAAGCAGGCCAGGAAGAGGTAGTGTAGGAGGCCAGCAATGACAGCACACGCCACCTGGGGGAGACAGAGAGCCCAGGGACACTGCGGTGGGGAAGGGAAATGCTGAGTATGGGGGAGATCTGCCGGGGCATCACACTGGGATTCTTGTTAACACAGCTCTCCAGTTATAGCGCTCTGGCAGGCTCCTTGGTCTATGGAGGGTCCTGTGGGTGCACACTTTGTGGATGCAGTAAGGGAGCAGAGAGTAGTGGTTAGAGCAGGGGAACAGGGCTCAGGGGATCCAGGTTCTGTTCCCAGCCCTGCCAAAGAGTCCCTGGGTGATCATGGGCAAGTCACCTGGGAGAGGAATCGAGGCACAAGGAGACTGTGACATAGGGACAGAACTGGCTTAACTCCAGTGGTTGGGGACACTCAGACCACTGTGCCCAGTGTGAAGGGGCCTAACAGAGGGTGGAAACATCCCCCAAGGAATCACCCCTGTGCCCTGCAGAGCCCAGAATCCAGGGAGCACAAAGGGGTTCAAAGTCACACACCCCAGCCCTGATGCAAATGGAGGAACAGAGCAGGGGAGAATCAGGCTTTACCGGACTGCCGGTGCGTGTCACCGGGATGAGGAAGAGCAGGTCGGCCAGGAAGAGGCAGAGGCAGAGCTGCAGGAGAAGGGAGGTGCTGATGTTGCGGATGGAGCGGCACAGGAGGAAGGTGAGGATGGCGAGGAAGAGGCACAGCAGTGACAGGGTCAATCCCATGTAGGTGATGATGCTCAGTGGGTAACTCTCCTGTAACACAGCAAAGGGACAATCACCAGTGACCCCAGCCCAGCCCCCTCGGCTCCGACTCAGCCTTTTCCCCAGCAAAGCCTCCAGTCGCTCCTGTGAGAGCTTTGCCCACAGCTGAGTGCGGAGCTCAGGGTCCAGCCCTGTGATCAGAGTCTCACGGTGAGATACCGTCTCTGTGGTGAAAGCCGTTAGGACGGCGAAGCTGGAGAGATGGTCACAGCTGCAGGTGGTGTGAGTGCTGTTCGTGTCCACGGCGGTGCAGCCGTCCTGAGACCAGCTGCCGCTCCCGGCCACTACTTTCCAGTAGACACAAAAGGATTCTTCGTCCTCTTTTTTGGCCTGGAAACACAACAGAATCATCCTCATCCTCACGGGACCACGGAACGTTGTTTCTGTTATCACAAGTCTATAGCAAACCCAAGGCCACCTACAGCTCCACGGCTCTCCGCATGCAGCCCCCAGTGCCCACTGGGGCCATCCCGGTGACAGCGGAGAGAGAACGCAGATCCTGCTGCTCCAAAAGCACAGGCCCTGTTTTGGATGAAAAAGGAAATAAACCCTTGCTAGCTGTTTGCACTATAAGGAACATGGCACATGGCTGAGCAGTTCTGACTGCATCCAGCAGAGGGCAGTGCTGTGTGCACATATCCACGTATGCACCCTAACCACTTCATTACCGTATCAAAGTGGTTCATTACCGTATCCCCATATTGACTGGATACATATCACCTCTGGAAGGGATGCTGAGATAGGGTTTCTTGACACCTTAAATGACTGCTTCTTGGAGCAGCTGCTCCTGAAACCCACAAGACGAGAGGCAATTCTTGATTTAGTTCTAAGTGGAGCACAGGATCAGGTCCAAGAGGTGAATATAACTGGACCGCTTGGTAATAGTGACCATAATATAATTAAATGTAACGTCCCTGTGGTGGGGAAAACTCCACAGCAGCCCGACACCGAAGGATTTAATTTCAGAAAGGGGAATTACACAAAAATGAGGAGGTTAGTGAAACAGGAATTAAAAGGTACAGCACCAAAAGTAAAATCCCTGCTAGCTGCATGGAAACGTTTTAAAGACACCATAATAGAGGCTCAACTTAAATGTATGCCCCAATTTAGAAAACATAGTAAGAGAACCAAAAAAGAACCACCGTGGTTAAACAACAAAGTAAAAGAAGGAGTGAGAGGCAAAAAGGCATCCTTTAAATAGTGGAAGATAAATCCTTATGAGGAAAATAGAAAAGAGCATAAACTCTGGCAAACGAAGAGTAAAAATATAATGAGAAAGACCAAAGAGGAATTTGACAAACAGCTAGCCAAAGGCTCCAAAATTAAGAGCAAAATACATCAGAAGCAGAAAGCCTGCTAAACAACCAGTGGGGCCACTGGACGATCGAGATGCTAAAGAAGCACTCAAAGACAATGAGGCCATTGCGGAGAAACTAAATGAACTCTTTGAATCAGTCTTCACTGATGAGGATGTGAGGGAGATTCCCAAACCTGAGCCATTCTTTTGGGGTGACAGATCTGTGTCATTAGAGGAGGTTTTGGAACAAATTGATAAACTAAACAGTAATAAGTCTCCGGGGACCTGATGGGATTCACCCAAGAGTTCTGAAGGAACTCAACTGTAAAATTGCAGGACTACTAACTGTCCTCTGTAACCTATCAATTAAATCAGCTTCTGTACCAAATAACTGGAGGATAGCTAATGTGGTGCCAATTTTTAAAAAGGGCTCCAGAGGTGACCCTGGCAACTACAGGCCAGTAAGCATCACTTCAGTACTGGGCAAATTGGTTGAAACCATTGTAAAGAACAAAATTGTCATACACATAGAGGAACATAATTTGTTGGGAAATAATCAACATGGGTTTTCAAAAAGGGAAATCATGCCTCACAAATCTACTAGAATTCTTTGAGGGGGGAAACAAGCATGCAGACAAAGGAGATCCAGTGGATCTAGTGTATTTAGATTTTCAGAAAGCCTCTGATAAGGTCCCTCACCAAAAGCTCTTAAGCAAAATAAGCAGTCATGGGATAAGAGGGAAGGTTCTCTCATGGATTGGTAACTGGTTAAAAGATAGGAAA